AATATGTAGATTTTTATAAGATTAACATAATAATTAAAATAAATCCCACTGCCAATTACTCCAAAATATAAGAAAAGGGTTAAATCTACTGGTAGCCACCCAATTTATATTTAGTGTCACCATGATCACTGAATTTGATTTTGTTTCGCCATGTCGACCTAATTTTATACTTAGCTCATGTTTGTTTCCTATTTTTAACACATAATAATGACTTTTTTAAATGTTGGAAGCATGCAAGTTTTACACAATGTTAGAGACCAGTCAAGAAAAGGGCTAGTGGGGGCCCATTAATAGTCTAATTTCTTCTGAAAATGAGAAAAAAATGGCAAACAAATTAGAGCTTAGCGTTACCATGGTAATCCAATTTGATATTTTTTCACCATGGTCACTCAATTTCATATAATATATTGCTATGATCATCCAATATCTTTTCACTATTTTTATTAATTTTAAAAGGGATAAACGGTAACTTTGCATTATATATATATATAATAAATTTAAAAATAATAAAATAAAAACTTATTTTAAAAAATAAAATAAAATAAAAACTTATTTTGAAAAAACATTACTTAAAAAATAAAATAAAATAAAATTTATTAAAAATGTTTTTTTAAAAAATATAAACTTATTTAAAAAAAGGTTTTTAAAACAAAATAAAAAGTTATTTAAAAAAAAAGTTCCTTAAGAAAATAAAATAAAATAAAAACTTATTTTTTAAAAAAATTATCTAAAAAAATGTTACTTCGAAAAATAAAGTAAAATAAAAAATTATTTAAAGAAAATGATTTAAAAATAAAAAACTTTCATTTTATATATATAATGTAAAGTACCATATTCCATTTTTAAAATTAATGAAAATGGTGAAAAGAAGTTGGGTGAATATGGTGAAACGTTATATGAAATTGGGTGGCTATGGTGATACTAAGGGCCTGTTTGAGCTACATTATTCCAAAAAAATACATTCTTAAACAATGATTTGATCATTTCAACCACACATTTTTCAATAAAATAATATTACACGCAGATCAAAAAATTTTCCTTATTTTTTAACCACACGTTTTCTATCAACACACTATTCAATAATGCATTATTACTAAAATAATGTGGCTCAAACACTCCCTAAGTATAAAGTTAGGTGATCATATTGAAACAAAAATCAAATTTAGTGGTCATAGTATCACTAAATATAAAGTTGGATTGTCATGGTAAAACTAAATCAAACAGGATGACCATGCTAACAGTAAATATAAAGTTGTGTATGTTCATTGGTGGATTTAATCAATTATATATATATATATATATATATACATACTTTAACCACTTAATTAGTGAAAATGGTGAAAAGAAGTTAAAAGATCATGATGAAATGTTATATAAAATTGAGTGGTCATGGTTAAATAAAATCAAATTGGATGATCATACTGACACTAAATATAAATTTGGATGATCATAGTGAAATAAAATCAAATTTAGCAAGTACGAGACACTAAATATAAACTTTGGCGAGGATTCATGGATTTAACCATAGAAGAAAAATCAATCATACTGCTTACTTGACAGCATCATATTCAAGCATTTCAACAATTGTTTTTAAAATTAATGGTCCAAATTTTGACAATGTCAATATTGTCATCAACCACAATTGTACAAAGGATAATTATATTATCACTACAAATTTTAATTACGACACCACATTATAATCACATCACAATTAAAATATATTTTTAATAAATACACTATGACAAGTTTACAATTATAATCTTAATTCAATAAAAACAAAAAAAGAAAAAGAAAAAGAAAAAAAATACAATATTGTGGTGTACTCATCGCCTAATATTAATCCTCATTTTTCTCAACATTTCCCTTTGTTCTGGTTTTTTGAAAGCAAACATATATAATTTCTAAAGGAATGCCTCAACCAGTGATGACACTCCTCATTTTCATTCTGTTGATTAATAAAACTATCAGAGTTAAAATATGACAACTAAGTGCATAATTTCAGCCTTGATGGTTTCAATTTGCAGTAGCATATACATGTAATATTACCATCTTATGAAGATTTTCAGATGTGCTACTCCAAAAACTATTTCAAACAACGAATGATTAAAAGAGATAGGCAAGAAGTTCCAGACTTGGCCACGCATGGTTGGTCTATCGGTGGTTGTGAACTCCATCTCCCGCCAAAATTTTATTGTCAAGTCTCGTTATGATTAAGAAGTTTTTGACTTCTAACCTGTAATTTTCTGCTAGTTTACCAATAAGATGTGCCTTCAAATTAGTTTTGTTAATAATTTGCATGATAAACATAAGAGCCACTCTTAGATCGGGCCCTTGTTCTTTTTTTTGAATTTTGTTAAGCAAGATAAATTACAATAAATGTTAATTAATAAAAACTCGAAAATTAAAGTGCTTAGAAGTTATCTTTCTAGTTATGACACTTTTGTTGAGCTCAATCAGAATAGGCTTTTGATTGTTTTAAATTCATAATAAATATTCTCGAATAAAAAAAAAATTCAAATTCTTAATTTTTCAAACTTGACAAATAAATTAAAAAAATTAATCAGTAAATCTTGGTCAAATAGAATATAAATTAATTTACCATTAGGTAAAAAAATTACCTTGCCGCCACGGAAGAAAATAAAAGCTGTCGAAAAAAAAAGAGCAATGAGATGTTGAGAAAAAAAAAAAAAAAAACGAAATCAGGCTTTATATTTGTGGTGTAACAATGAATTATTTAATTACAAAATATATTAAAATCCTAATTATGTAATTTTACTTAAGGATATTTAAGTAAATAAGAAATTTGTGGTGTACTTAATAAAATTTGCAGTGGTAATAAAACTACCTTTTTTTTTTTTTTCATCAACATCTCACTGATCAAGGTTTTTCCGACGGCTTTTATTTTCTTCCACTGTGGCAAGTTAATTTTTTTGCCTCACGGCGAATGAATTTATATTCTATTTGACCAAGATTTACTGATTAATTTTTAAATTTATTTATCAAGTTTGAAAAATTAAGAATTTGATTTTTTTTTTTTTATAGTTCAAGCATATTTAGTCTGAATTTAAAACAATCAAAAGCCTATTCTAATTACCCAATTTTGAGTTCTATTCTGATTGAGCTCATCAAAAGTGTCATAATTAGGAAGATAACTTCTAGGCACTTTAATTTTCAAGTTGTTTTTTAATTAACATTTATTGTGATGTATCTTGCTTAACAAAAGTCAAACAAAAGAGGAAGGGCCCGATCTAAGATTGGCTCTTTATGTTTATCATGCAGATTATTAGCTAATCTAAATTGAAGGCACATTTCATGGGTAAACCAACAAAAAATCACAGTTTAGAAGTCAAAAACTTCAGAATCATAACAAGACTTGACGATAAAATTTTGGCGAGAGACGAGGTTCACGACCATCGATGGACCAGCCATGCATGGCCAAGTCTAGAACTTCTTACGTGTCTCTTTCAATCGTTCATTTTTTGAAACGATTTTTAGAATAGCACATCTGAAAATCTTCATAAAATGATAATGTCACACATATATGCCATGCAAATTGAAACCATCAGGGCCGAAATTATGCACTTAGCTGCCATCTCCTAACTCTGATAATTTTATTAATCCATTCCTTTATAAATTATATATCTTCGCTTTCAAAAAACCAGAATAAAGGGAAATGTTGAGAAAAATAAGGATTAATATTAGGTGATAAGTGCACCACAATATTTCTTTTTTCATTTTTTTGTTTTAATTGAATTATGAGTATAATTGTAAATTTGTTGTTGTGTATTTGTTAAAAATATATTTTAATTGTGGTGTAATTATAATGTCGTGTCGTAATTAAAATTTGTAATGGTAATATAATTACACAAAAAATAAATCAGGCTTTATATTTATGGTGTAACAATATTTAATTAGAAAGAATATTAAAATCCTAATTTTTTCAAACTTAATTTTTTTGCCTCGTGGTAAATGAATTTATACTCTATTTGAACAAGATTTATTGATTCATTTTTTAAATTTATTTGTCAAGTTTGAAAATTTAAGAATTTGAAGCATATTTATTATTAATTTAAAACAAGCAAAAGCCTATTCTGATTACCCAATTCTGAAAACAAAAGAGGAAGGGCGCGATCTAACCGATCTAAGGGTGGCTCTTATGTTTATCATGCAAATTATTAGCAAAACTAAATTCAGGGCACATTTCATGGGTAAACTAGCAGAAAATCACAATTTAGACGTCAAAAACTTCAGAATCATAACGAGACTTGACAATAAAATTTTTGCAAGAGATGGGGTTCACAACCGTCGGTGGACCAGCCATGCATGGCCAAGTCTAAAACTTCTTGTGCGTCTCTTTCAATCGTTCATTGTTTGAAACAGTTTTTAGAATGGAACATTTGAAAATCTTCATGAAATGATAATGTCACACATATATGCCACTACATATTGAAACCATCAAGGTTGAAATTATGCACTTAGCTGCCATCTCCTAACTCTGATACTTTTATTAATCTACAGAATGCAAACGAGGAGTGCCATCACTTGTTGAGGAATTCTTTTAGAAATTATATATGTTTGCTTTCAAAAAACCAGAAAAAGGGAAAATGTTGAGAAAAATAAGGATTAATATTAGTTGATAAGTGCACCATAATATTGTTTTTTTTTTTCAAATTTTTTTTTTTTTTTTTATTGAATTAGAAGTAAAATTATAAATTTGTTGTAGTGTATTTATTAAAAATATATTTTAATTGTGTCGTGATTATAATGTTGTGTCAAAATTAAAAATTATAGTGGTAATATAATTATCCAAAAAGGAAATCAGACTTTATATTTGTGGTGTAACAATGATTTATTTAATTTAAAAGTATATTAAAATTTTAATTATATAATTTTATTAACGATATTTAAGTAAACAAGAAAATTGTGATGTACGTAATAAATTTCGTAATAGTAATATAATAAATACAAATAGATCAACTAAGAAAATCATTACAGAGAGGGCAATCAGGTACAGATTTCTACTCTCCTCCATCCACCCCCATGACTAACTGCGTTTTTAAACTAAACACGTTTCTAGCCTTTCCTATCTACCCATACACGACAGACGGAAGACAGAAACTTGCAATTCGTCTGCTTTCTGTCAATCGTAACAACACTTTAGAAGAATAAATTCAATCGATTCTGTTAATCAAAATCAGGTTGAGAAAGGGAGTCGGGAGCTGAGGGAAAATGGATGCTCGAAAAATAGTTGTGGTTGTGGAAGATGTGGAGGTAGCAAGAACTGCACTCCAATGGGCACTTAACAATATTCTTCGTTATGGGGATTTGATCACACTTCTTCACGTATATCCCAGTACACCATCCAAAAGCAAGAAGAATCTTAGACTCCTACGCTTGAAAGGCTTCCAATTGGCTCTCTCTTTCAGAGAAATATGCAATTCCTTCCTCAATGTATGTAGTAATCTTTCTTACCTATTTAATTATATGTATATCTCGCAAAATGATTAATTATTATGATGCAAAGTGACTGTTGCAGACAAAGACGGAGATTGTTGTGACGGAAGGGGATAGAGATGGCCGAAGAATTGCGGCAATGGTGAGTGAGATTGGGGCCTTCGCTCTCGTTTTGGGTCTTCATGATGGGAGCTTTCTCTACAGGTAATTTTATCTAACATTTTATTTGGAATCTTCGAATTGATCGGATTGGGTTTCACTATCCACCCAAATCATCACACCTCGAACCTGAACTACCATCAACGTCGAGTGGGTAGCAGTACTCACTCTGGGTTGGTTAGCGTTCATCTTGCTTTTCCCTTCCAACCCAACCCCGAGAGAAAATAAAGTCATTTCACTGATTGTTTATTGGCTGATAAATAGAATAATTTGTTCATCATAGTTTGGTAAAGAAATTTGTATTGTATGGCATGCTTAATTTCAAGAAATGGATTTGTGATGTGTAAAATTTAGTGTATTTAGGTTAATGTATTTGTCGATGATTAAAAAATTCAATCTTGACTCGAACAACATATACTCCACACTTTCCAAAAAATTTTGAAGCTGCCAAGGACGTATAAGTGCATAACTTTTTTATTTCACTCTTTCTCGTAATGTTTAGGTACTTCTTGAAATTTCGTTTTCATAGTAGTTTATCTTCTTGCTTTCTAAGCTCCAATTTTATCTTCTTAGCATCTAGCATATTGCATCAATCTGGCACCATAGACAATGAAATCAATCAAACGATGAAGCAAGAAAATCTGGTATTTTATATTGATTTTGTTCTTTTAATAGATATAAATGATGATTGTTGCCAAATATTTTCTATAGATCTTTTTTGGCAGATAATGTTTTTAATCGTAGTAAAAAAATAAAAATAAATAAATAAATAAATAAAAAATAAAAATCAATGTCAGAATTGGTGTCAATGTAATAATGCAATGAAAGTAGCTATAAAATTATTAAAACAATGTAGTCTATTGTTTTTTCAATATTGTTTCTTGAAAATTTTAGGCAAGTAATCATGAAATAGTGACCTCATTTATATATCTACTCTTTGCATCCTTTGTGGGACTGATGGATTATATGTTTTCAGTATCTGGAATGATATACTTGCCAAAAAGAATTGATAATGGTGTTGCTTGAAAGTTTGGTTAGGAATTGAAATCAAGGTAGAGAAAGCAGAGAACAGAGAGGGGGGAAAATACCGTAAAGATGTCCTTTTTAATGAATATAAGCTTAACACGTTTGTCGTTTCGAATTAATATGTTTAAAGCAGTTGAGACTTAAGGTAACTACAGTGGTTGATTAGCGTCTGTTCTAGTATCATTACTCAGTGGTTTTTCAAAAGTACTTAGACCTTTATCTCTATTCTCCCCTCTCCGTTGGTACAGGTTGGTAATGGCCCCGAACAGTGTTGCATTCAACTTGAACTGTAAGGTTCTTGCCATCAAGCAACCAACACCACTAACAGCGAGGACAATTTCTTTACAAGATAGTTCAATTAAAATGGACTTCTCACAGATTGAAATAGATACATTGAGGTGAGATTTTAATTATTTTCTTGAGCCACTCCATACAATACTGATGTCTGCTCAAGAAAGCCAGAGTCTTTTCTGGCTTTATGTTTCTTCTTCATTTTTTTCTGTTAAGCGCGCGCGTGAAATTTTCTTATGTTGATGCTCAAAATTACATGCACTTGTGAGTAATATCAATAAAAACATCTCCAAAGGACTTTTTATTTTTAAAGAGCAAATTTTGCAATTTAAAGAGCATCTATTATTTTAGTGAGTAAAAATTTCTAAATATTCTAACTCCCTCTTCATCTTTAACACTTAATTTTACTACTCTCAACTTGTATTTATTATGTTTTTCTATCTTTTATTTTCACTAGCTTCTATCTAAATTGTTATATTGTTTGCTTTCATTTTCTTTGTATATACTATTTAATTGGATCTATATATGAAGTATTGAAAATTGAAATGTTTTAAATTTATTTAATTATAGAGAGTGAATTTGGTTCTCCAAAACTCACTTTCTATTTTAAAATATTAATTTCAAGAGTCCCCTGCAGCATAATTTTAAGGGTTGACTCTTTAAAATATGGAATATTTCATTTTTAAAGAGTCACTTAGAGATACTCTAAAATATATGCTAAATTGGCACTTTATTAACCTTTAATACGGATTATAAATAATGTTCAAGGAGTAATTTTTAAAATGCAAATTATTCAACTAATTTATATTTTTCTCAAACTTGCCCCTATGTTCTTACGAATGGACAATTTCGAGAAGTTGCAATCTCTTTGTTCTTAAAGAATGGCTGAACAGCAAAAATAACAAAATTGGCACAAGGTCTATTGTTCAAAGGTTTTACTGTAATTTGTGCACCTTATATTAACACTTTTTATTTATTTATTGGTTTTCCGAGAAATCAGGGGTGTAGGTAACAATATAATAGAACTGTTATTGTGCATGTGCATATTTATAAACTCTGGATAATGAATCCTTTTCTCTGCTAATACTCTTGTAATGTTGTTCTCAAGAATTGTTGTAACAGGAAAGATTGAATAACCCGAATAGGAAAACAAAACCATGAACTTCTTTATTCTTTTTAGTATCCAGCCATAGCTGGTTGATATGAAAGTTTAGACATGAAGTTTCTAATGATAAGAGCATGTAAACTGTTTGACCTGATGAATGTTATTGCAGTGTCCCAGAAGTTCCTCCTCAGAAAATCCAATACCAAATCTGTCCAGACCCTTCTGCTATTATATGGAGATCCAGGCAATAAAGAAGAATTAGAGCTTCATGAAAGAAGTCTCATCTTTGAATCTAGAAAACAAGTATTAAAGACGAATTTTGCTGAAATAGACTGATGTACAACACAACTAGACAGCTTTGGATTTGATTCGCACAGCAGATTTATACAAGGAAAGTGAAACTGAAATAGTATAGTTATCATCTTCTCTATTGCTGTTGTCGTTTTGTTGTATGTTTGTTAGGGTGGATTATATAGTATTGAACAATTTTATAAAAGAATGAAAAAGTTAAAAATACTTTACATTCTAGTGTTCGGTGCTATCGACATTCAGTATTTCAACCCAAACAGGCACTAAGATCACTGCTTTGAGTGTGTTCAATATATGTTAGTTGCCATTTCTTTCACTTTATGATTACCATAATTTTCTTCAAACGCTTATAAGTTTTCATTATTTTCCTTGCATTTTAGCTTCTACGTCAAATGTTGTTTACCTGGTAAATGCTTTTGGTTATTAGGCGGCCTTTAAGGTGTCTATGCCTTTTGGTAGGAACTGTAATTAAACTCTAATTAGTGTAGTTCACTAGAAGATACTAAGATAAACATTCAAGTCAAAACTAAGATACTGCCCCTTATTCTTCGCTCTTAAATTACTCCTCTACTGATTAAAGCATTGACTCTCAGTGCCCACTCTTACCTCACTATCAAGCTATCTGAACAAGAAAAATATATACCAACCCAGATTGGGTCAATAGGGATTGTTGTTTCTTTTGTAGTGCTTGCTTCTATCTATGTACAGTGCTTCCCATATTTGGAATCTTTGGGTCGGATTAGCATGATTGCTGGCTCAGTCTTCGATCTACCCATTAGTTGATTTGTTCATTGAGGTTCGACTGCCTAAGCAAAGTCGAAGTACGTGGGATTCCTTTGTAATGAATATCTCTTTGGGAATCGTCAAATTATCGAGTCGAATTCTCATCATTTTGCATTAACATGATCTGAAAAAGTCGATCACAAAGATAAATTTACTTGATGAAAATGTCGTGTTGTGTAGAGCTATTAAGAATTACGAATTGGTGATAGTTCACTCTTGAATTACTTAAATTTACTTGGTGAAAATGGTGTGAGTGTAGAGCTATTAAGAGTTACGGATTGTTGACATTTGATGTGACTGTATAAATACAATGCTAATTTAGTATTCTAAGAGCATCTTCTAAACATATTCGCTCAATTAGTGAGAGAGCATTCTCATAAACTCGAAACGTCTTGTATTGGGTTTTACTTGTTGAGTTGGATTCAATTGGTTTGTGCTTGTCTTCTTTGTGAAGGGAAGCCGTGCTTAACACCATTGTAGTAAAGGAGGTAATGTGTTGGGTCGAAAGGGAGCTTGATGTCATCCTATTTTATTATCAAATGGTCGAGAGAAGCTCATCGAGAACTAGAGTTAAAACTACCTACATTTCTTTCCCATTCTTCAGTTCCTTTTCTTGAGTCCAAGGAGGACTTGTCAGATTTAAAATATTTAAGCAGTGTAACACCTCAATCAAACGAAGTTCTTGAATTTGTTGAGACTTAAAAGGATGTATTTATGATTTACTCAAAACTTGAGGAGCTAAATGTAATTCTAAAGTACCCCATCTTTTATCCTACGGCCGAGGATCGCCGAGATTACCAACAACACATTCATTACCGTTGATTCGCCCAACAAATCTCGAAAAGAAAAAGTCTTCAACATCATGTCTAGGGAACTCAACTCCAGACCCTCTCCATCCCCCCACGTGTGCCACTGCATGAAAACAATCACACGCGTCCCCATTCCGTTCATTTCTCCCATACCTCACTCCTCTTCTTCACCAAATCCAAATCTCTCTCCTTAACTCTCTCTACTCAACAATGGCGGATCAGTCTCAGAGGCAGCAGTATGCAAGAGGCAGTAATATCAGATCTTTTGTACATAAACTGCAATTGCATTCCCCAAATTCAACCCAACTCATTGGGTTCATGACCCTTGTCATCTCCAGTGGCATTTTGCTTCTGCTTACTGGCATGACATTGACTGTTACGGTTCTTGGGCTTATCTTCTTCATGCCATTGATCCTCATTTCGAGTCCCATATGGGTCCCTGCTGGAACCATTATCTTTATTGTCGTTGCTGGATTTCTTTCCTTTTTGGGGTTTGGGATTGCTGCTGTGGTGGTGATTTCTTGGCTGTACAGGTATTTCAGGGGGTTCCATCCGCCCGGTTCCGATAGAGTCGATTATGCCAGAAGCCGAATTACGAATACTGCGAGCCACATGAAGGATTATGCCAGAGAGTACGGTGAGTACTGGCAGCAAAAAGCTAAGGATGCAGCTCCTGGGGCTTGAATGCTGAGTGAATCTTTACAAGATTTTGAACGATCTTTTTAACATTTTATATTAGCTTTTGTGGTTATTGTTTTCTTTTCTTGCTTTTCCTGCGGATTTTAATGTCTCAATCGAATTCCAGGTTTTTATATATAACACCTTCCACTTGCATCTGTTTGGGAGTAGAAAACTGGATGTGAATTAGGGGAATTCTAGTACTTGTCTGTCCAGATATTCCATTAATGTTAGCCAGCGATTTTGATCTTAGAACCTTTGGCTAATATGGGTGAGTGAAAGAATTTAGGATTGAGAGCTTATATTTGTAAAAAGATACAACCATAAAATGAGGTTAAAGGAAATCTTGCTCCAGCTAGATTGAGGACAGTCAGATTATAGTTACCAGAGACCTCAAATTAGGTGAAAGATCATGAGAGAACATTTCAGAATGACCACATAGAAGAAGGAAAAAAAATTTGAGGAACAACCTGCTCGAAACAAAAGTAATCTAGTACTGTGATCATGGATATAATCTTAAATGTTGAAATTAAATTAATTTGCAATCTTTAATGCATTAAAAATCTTGAAGAAAAAGAAGTCCAGTCCAGACGAGAATAAATCTAAAGGATTGCACCTGGAAATATCATTCTTAAATGTTGGGTTACTATTTGTAATCTTATCTTATTTGTAGAATTATCCATGTCTGCCTAGGCATGGTTATAGTGATTGAATAAGGAGTTGAGTGAGGAAAAATCAAAGTTCAGTGTAATTATTTGTAATCTTTTATTATTTCTGGAATTGTCCCTGTCTGTATATATAAGCAAGGTATGATTGTAATGTTTGAATAATGAGTGGAGTGAAGAAAAATTAAAGTTTTGGTTTAATTATTTGTAATCTTTTTTTATTTTCTAGAATTATCCATGTCTGCCTATATAAGCAAGACATGATTGAAGTGTTTGAATAACGAGTGGAGTGAGGAAAAATCAAAGTTAGGTTTAATTGAATCTCAACTTTTCATAACAACGAATAGGAATGAAACGGCGAGTGATCTGTTGTGGCCACTTTCCGAAAGATTTGTGTTTGGATTGCATTATTTACTAACTTGACTGTTGGCCTGAGACAAAATTGCCTCTCTCGGGAAGTAAGACTTTTTACATAATTTGAATTCAAGAGAGAACTTTCAACCGCACTCAAAGGTAGGGCATTTTCCATTTTTATAGGAACTTCTATACCAATGAACAATCGCTAACTAAAAGGGGGAACTGCATAATGAAAGCACCGCGCGTCCGCGCTCTCAAAGCTTGAATCTATGTCTCCTGTAGTCTTTTATAATTCCTAGAATTGCCCACTTCTCCATATACAAGGAAGGCAGGATTATATTGTTTGAATAACGAGTGGAGTGGAGGGAGGAAAAATCTGTATTTCAACAATTCAATCAAATTATTAATAAAATTTTAAGATTGGCCAAATTATCTATGTTACTCTCCCAACATATTAATGAAGAGGATATATTGAACATTGGTAGTCCACATAATCCTACCAATGAAATTGGAAGAAACATGAATATTGAAGATTCGTAATTGTTGGTAGTTCAAAAGAATCATGAATCTATATGATTCATGAATGGCATCAAATGTATTAGTCTAGATGTTCATGCTACACAAGTACAAGTAGGAGTAGTATCCGTTCACAGAATTATGTAAAAAGAGTCGTACAAATTGTAAGTGAAGCATTTAACAAATAAAAAGTGGGCATTTTTACAACCGCGCTTCACGTACAGAACCGAAGCCTACAGGACTGTCAGAATACACACAAACATGGGTGGGATGAGATTTTTTGAGGTACTTTTTCAGTAAGGAGGATCCACCTCATGTCTCACATCTATAAAACTCCTATGAGAAGGGGTCCTGTACATCCGACTTTTCTCGCATTTTTAAATAATTAAGTGTGAATAAAATTCATTGATTGAACCTTTTAAATGTAAGGATGTGAGCCTCGTTTACTCATTGACCGTTGCATTGACGCTATGCTGTTTAGATAAATAGCTTACTTTAACCGAAACTATACGACACGAAAGATTTTCTAAAGACAATGTCTTTTTGGAATAAGTCAATTCATGGGTGACTGAGATTAAAGACTCGGTACAAAATATATAAGGCTGTCGCTAATAACTGAACTCAGAGGTGCGAACAGCTGCACCAACTTTGAATTATCTCAGGCCGAGTTGGAATTCATCCTGTTCGGGAGTATGGAGTCAGTTTCCTTCGACGCAAGGGCTACTGGTGCACTCAAGGCGAAGTTGTCTAATAAAAATAGCAACTGATCTTCATCTAACACGCAGTTGAACTTTCTTTGAGCTTTGAATTTGTGTCCAAATGACACGACAAGTAGTCAACTATCTTTAGCAGCAACTTGGATTTCCAATCCAACTCAACACATCACTACTTTGGAGCCTAATGACAATGATCATATTGATTCGATTAGAGTACAGCTTTACGACAGGAAAACCCTCGTTGAACCGACTTCAAGAATGGGAGCTGGCGAGAACGACGTGCCTTGGGCATCACAGAAGAGTCAAATCAATGATGAGTCGAGCCCCATGATCATCAATACTGCCTGGCCACTGTTTCATGCATCTCAAGCTGCTTTGGATTTGTCTTACCCAAGTAATCCCAATGGTGAATTGCTTACAAACGACAGGAATATGAATATGGTTGAAGTGAGTGGATCAACACCACCAGTTTCTGCGTTAGAGTTGCAACATGTACCGTATTAAAACAAAAATTGGATTAATGGGCTAATGTTATCAATCGTGCTGTCAAATGTGATGTACTTATAGCACTCCTAACCTAGAAAAGTAGCTTACATGATGCATTACGAGGGCACTCTACATTTAGAATATATATGTCTTATTATTATTATTATTTTTTTATTTTTTTTTTTAACTACCAATCTATTAAAATTGTTATTATAGTTATGAGAAAGGGGAAAACTTTGTCTCATCGACAACTTGGATACACCTCGCGTCCTTGTCTTTATTGATTACTTTGTCGAAATTGTATTGGCCATGCCTAGGCTATTTGCATAGTCTATGCTGTCTCTAGCTTTCCCCAATTTCCTGATTTCCTCATGGACTACAATATTAGCCAATTGCCCTTCAATTTGTCATTTTCATAACATCACAACACTTGTATATGCAATAATGACATGATTATTTTTTTCTTCTGATAGATAAAGATTTTGGGTGTTTCTACGATACAAACAAGAACGCCTGCATTAGTGAATATCAAAATTGTATTATGATTAACGGCGTACAAAACTGTGTTTGTATTTTAGCAATGTGTCTACTCGTGATGCTAGTAGATTCCTCCTCTTCATGTCAATAATATAAGGAATTATTCCTTCTTGACGTTTTCTAAGAAGCAGGAGTAAGTTTTACAAATTTATTATGTGTACAATTTTATCTTAAACATTAGAAGGAGGTCGAGACGAATACCTAGCTACATGAAGCAGACTCCGAGAAACGATGAAGGCGTGAGCAGCAGAAGGAAGGCGTCGTCTAGGGGGCACCACAAGTTTGTGGGCGTCCGCCAAAGAACATCGGGAAGATGGGTGGCTGAAATCAAAGATTCCCAACAAAAGTTAAGGCTTTGGCTTGGGACTTTTGACACAGCAGAAGACGCAGCGCGAGCGTATGACGCTGCTGCTCGTCAACTCAGAGGTGCGAACGCACGCACCAACTTTGAGTTACCATCTGATTCTATTACGCTGGAGAATGTCGAGCCATTTTCTTTTGACGCGATGTGTAGGACAGAAGAGCCTGAAGGACTAATTGGTGCACTCAAGGCCAAGCTTTTTAAACAAAAGGGCTCCCAGACGATGCTCAATCGAGACAGTTCGTCTTCTAACATGCAATTTAGTCTTACCGAAGTTTCTCTTCCAAATTCGTCGAAAATTAGACAATCGTCTGCCGCAATGCCTGCGGTCAATCAAATTCAACTACAACCAACTCATCATCATAATCACAACCATGATCAAATTGAATCCATCAGAGTCCAGGAATGCCGACAAGGCTCGACTCCGGCATGGCCTACCGAGAATAAATTGCCATGGGGATCAGAGATGAGTCTTGTTCAAGAGGATCCCTCCTTGATCAAAAATGGTGCATGGCCATCGTCTCACGTAAGTCAAGCAGCTCTTGATTTGTGTTACGCGAGTAATCCCTTAGGCGAATTGCTTAGAAACGACAAGAGAAAAGGGGGTATTGTACAAGTGAGTGGATCGATATCTTGGGTTTCTCCGATGGATCAGAATGTATACTATGAAAATAACAATTGGGTTAATGGTGCTAATGTTATCTTGGACTATGATCTGCATGTACATTCGGTTCTTGGATGATAAAAAACACATGAAATATTTAATATTTTGGTTTTTTGATTGACAATTATATTTATAACCCAGTAACTGGATTCTTGTTAGCACAGAAGCAAAAAACAAAGGACCAACGAATTGGAGAAGTGACATTTTATTTTAGTGATTCATCACAACATACTTGCATATTGTTCCCAATCGTACCATAGGTATAGAAGCTTTTGACAGACAACATATGGCTCGAAATCATTGGAAGATGGAAAAAAATACATAAAAAAAAGGCTTATTTGGCTTTGCCATGTCTGCATCTATATGAATTTTGTAAGAAAATCCCTGTACTTGAGGCTTTTCAAATGGATATCTTATGTTCCATTTTTAGAAACATTTGTGTTGTTGGAAAGACAATAAGTTCTCAAATTTAAATAAACAAAACAAAAGAAGAAACTATAATAAAGAAAAATGCGAGCAATTAATTGAAGTTTATATGTTAATGCAATACCAAAGTTCTTTGTGTGGCTTAAATGCAAAGTTTGAGAACCTAAGGAACAAATTCGAATTTTTTCAATTGTTAAAGGACAAGTGAAAGTTTTGGTAAATAAGATTTTATCGAAAGAGTCATCGACATAGGATTTATTATTGACAATAGGAGTCATTGGAGAATAAAAAAGAATATTAAGACTTATTTGCAATTTACCAATCTTCATGGATTAGCCAATTTTGAGAAAATATTATGAGTTGAGGATTTTGGAGCCAAACAATTTTTCTGGGGTTGAAATTATGTGAATGAACATATTTGGTTCAATTTGGAAATTATGGATACTGTTCGAGATTTTTCTGCATTTTAGACAATATCTCCATAGCATGGCTCAGATCAGTTTTTGGGGCATCTGAGTTATGAATTTTGATATAGAAAAATTTTAAAATTTCAATGGTATCAGTTTTTTATTTTTATTTTTTATCAAGAGAAAATGGTCAAATGTTTATTTTTCAGTTTCATAATAATTTTATATCGTATCCAGATGGACCGTGCTAAGGATTGTAGCAACTTATTTTTGGTCATTATTCAGCTGAATTTGGAAAGGGATTTTTTTTTTCTGAAACAAAATTAAAAAGGGATTTATGATCAATAATTTGCCATAATTTTAATGATTATATCATATTAAATCTTTCATTATTTGAAAAAAAAAAAAAAA